GTGTCCCTGCCCAGGGCAGGGGGTGGGACTGGATGAGCTTTAAGGTCCCTTCCCACCCAAAGCATTCCCTGATTCCAAATCCAAGGCATGGCTTTGATTATCTCTGCCCCACTCACCTGTATAACCTGGAAAGGATGAGTCTGGAGCTGTTTTCCTTTAAATCCACGGATTTCCAGTGAGGTTCTGCTGGTCTGAAGAGCTTCCCCAACCGTGAGTGTGTCCACACCTGTAAATAGGGGCAGGATGGAAATTCCTAAATGGGATCTATTGAAAAGGAAATTCCTAAAAAACAGCTTGTAAAGGTTTTGCTTGGAAGGGAAAAGTCCTGTGGGAGCTCGAATTTCATGGGACAGGAGGGCAACTGGGCAGAAATTGGGGAGAATGGAAGCTGCTGGTGAGAAATGTGGAATATTGTGAGGTCATGAAGGCAGCACAGGGCTGGGGGAAGAATCCTGTCCCTCCTCATTCCCTGTGGATACCCAGGGTAGTTCCCCTGGCTGAGGAGGGGGAAACAGGGCCCTTGGAGTCTTATCTTGGGGTAAAAATAGCCTGATCTGGGGCTGTGACTAATATATTGTGTCTGATTCAGCCTTTAAATACCAAGTGAGTGGTTGAGGGGGAGGTGGGGTTGGGTTTTCACTTGGTTTATTGTCTTTTGTGAGGCCACGTAAACAGATTCCTGAGCCATTGTTGGTGGGTAATTCCCAAATCCAGTCGGGATGGGGGTTTAATAACCATTTCCTACCCTGGGAATAAAACATGGTGTGGAATATGGGCTGAGCTCCTGAAATCGGGCTTGAGTGTGGGTTTCTGGTTCCAGGAAGAGAGGGAATTCTCTCCTGTAAATGGGAGAATGAGCCATGCCCGGCTCCAGGAGCATATTTGGAATTAGTCCCTTTTGCAGGAGGTGTGGCCACCACGGGGAAAATAACCACTTACTGCAGCAAAGCAAACAAAAAGGGAAAACATTACCCAGATCGACTCCTAATTCTCTGTGGTGTCGGTTTAATGTGGAACATGCCCTGACACATCCCAAGCCTGGCTTATATTTGGGATTTCTCTGCTTCCTGCCCGGTGAAGTCCGGCCAGATTGGAGCAGGGAGGGAGGGGAGGCACCTGGAGCTTTGGAGTGGCTCCTGGTGCTCCTGGAGAGCTCCTAAAGGCCTGAACTTCCATCCCTTCTTTAATCCAGCTTGTCCCTGCTCCCCTGCCCTGGGATGGCATCAGGAGGGAGATGGAGTGTTTTAGGCTTGTTTTCATTCACTCCCTGCTCTCACAGGCTCATTCTCCCAAATAAATGCCACCTTTTGGGGGGCGGGGAATTCTCAGAGCCCTCTGGTTTGGAGGGATGGGTGGAGGGGGTCGGGGGTCTCTGACCTGGGCAGCTGAAAGGGCTGATCCAGCCCGTGGTCAGGAGCAGTTTTGTGCGGATTTATAGAACAGATTTGTGTGGAATAGTGACCTGTTTGCTGCTGGGGTGACCCTGGGACAAGTCCTGGACAGGCTCCAGGCCTGAAGCCCCCCCAGGCAGGATCTCAGAGTCCCCCTGAGCCAGGGTTGAATCATTACAATCCCTTTTCTCCCCCCCCCAGACTATGAGCTGTATGTGTAGTCTCCTCTACATCCTTAAAAACACCACCACACAAAAAGCTCCATCCTTTCCAGCTTCCTCTGGGAGCCTCCAGACCCTCCAATTAGCAGGAGCTGCTCCTGGCTCTAAACTGTGTGTTTATGGGGCAGTTTGTCCTAAAAATAAACCCCTGTGAACTCCAGGGATGTGTCTGAGGAACCAGAGTCTGGGTGAGCCTGGTCAGCCCCAGGAAGGCACCGATCCAGGGGGTTCCACAGCGCTTCTCTCCTGGATTCAGGATCCTCAGTGGGAGGGAATTCTGACCCTCTGTGGTTCCCAGGCCTTTTTTGGTTTTAGAGCCACGAAACGAGCTCGGCTCGAAGTGAAAAATGGGAAATGTCAAATGCTCCAAAATCGAGTTGCCTTCTAATAATTAATCCTGTCTGTGTGCAGAAAGCTGAATTGAATAATCCCACTGACCCTAATCCCATTTTGGAATCTGCCCCTGAAATGCTGTCCCTGTATTTCAGGGTTTTGGGTTTTTTTTTTTTCGCTTTAGAGCTGATCTTTTTGGGGTTGAGTCTGTTCCCTTTCCCAGGGTTCTTCCCTGCTTCCTGCTGTCCTGGCTGGAGCTTTGCTGTTCCAAGGAATGAAGGTTGTGTAAACAGAGGGGCACAAACAGAGCAAGGGAAGACTTTGCACAAACTGGTGTTACATTTACCATGGAATGTCTCTTTTTTTGGGGAAGAGGAGCTTGTTGGCGTCGTGCAGGAATCCCCTGAGGTGGCACAGTTGAAACAGTTTTGTTATCAAACGATGTGGCTCATAAATAACAAGAAACACTATTAAAAATACAGATTTTTGGGGGGAGTGGTGTCCAGGCTGGTGGATTTTCCACACTTTTGTTTGCTCCCCCCACACCCCCATTTATCTTTCATTTCGGTGCCATCCCCAAATTCCATGTAGTGGTTTTGGAACCAGGGCAGATGGATCATAAACTGTCACTTGACTGTGTTCAGGGTGGTTGTTTGAATGTTGAGACAGTGAGAGATGTAAAGCACAAATTGTGTTTCACCCCCCCCCACTGCTGCTCCTGTGTCTCTGCTCCCTCCTTTAGAAGAGCAGGGAGGAATCCCAGGGGGATTTGGGAGCAAAAGTCCAGTTGGTTGTGCAGGAGGGATTTGACCCAGGGGCAGGGGGAGGGTTCAGCAGGAAAATGGCTTTTGGCCTCAGCTCAGAGGCAGAGCTGGTGTTGTGCTTTTTAATTGTTATCTTTACCCCAAATAGGATTCTGTTCTTCCTGTGCCAGGAGCTGTTTGTGTGGGGTGGGAAATGGGGGAAATGTGGGCGCTGGGAAACAGGGATTCCATGGGATCATGGGATGGGTTGGGTTGGAAGGGACCTTAAAGCCCACCCAGTGCCACCTCTTGCCATGGGCAGGGACACCTTCCACCAGCCCAGGTTGCTCCAAGCCCAGTCCAACCTGGCCTTGGACACTTCCAGGGATCCAGGGACAGCCACAGCTTCTCTGGACAACCTGTGCCAGGGCCTCCCCACCCTCCCAGGGAAGAACTTCCTCACATCCCACCTAAACCTCCTGTCTTTCAGTGTGACTCCACTCCTTGTCCTGCCTCTCCATGCTCTTGGAAGTACTCCTGCCCCATCTTTCCTGCAAGTTCTCTTTATTAAGAGGCAAAACCCTGAGCTTCCCAAGCCTTGGGATTCAGGCACAGACACAGGCCCTGGCACAGGTTGCCCAGAGAAGCTGTGGCTGCCCCTGGATCCCTGGAAGTGTCCCAGGCCAGGTTGGATGGGGCTTGGAGCAACCTGGGCTAGTGGAAGGTGTCCCTAGGTTGGAAGGTTGGAACTGGATCATCTTTAAGGTCCCTTCCAACCCAAACCATTCCCTGATCCCACGTACGACCCCGGTGAGGGTTTTCCTGGCAGGTTCTGGGTGACCACAGAACGAGAGCCAGGGTGGTTTCCCTGGGAGCTGCTGGGCAGAGCAGCCCCTGCCAGGGGTGTTTTGGGATCCTGAGTGTCCCCAGGGACAGGCTCCAGGGGCTGGGCTGTGCCCCTCTGGGATCACCACTTGTGTAACAGGGCGGGGAGTCAGAGCCACGGGCACAGCTCCCTTGTCCTGGACCCCATTATTAATTGGGGCCTGGGCACAGCACTAATTACTGTTTTCGCTGGGCTGCCTGGCTGGGAGCTTCCTTTGACTCACCCTGTTGGGAAAGTCGGCCCTGGGAGGGTTTTATCCTCCCTGCTGGGGCCTGTGAGGAGGGGCCAGTCCCTGTGTGGCTGGGGTGGTGAATCCCTGGGGAATCCATCAGTTTTCCTGCCTGGCAAACTCCCCCAGTGCCCCTCACAGCTCAGCTCAGGTGGGTTTTTATTATTAAGGCACCATCACTGGGCTTCATCTCCAAATAAACATCCCAGCGAATCCAACACCTCTTACATAAGAGCTGAATA